GTCACCAAAACACCACAATTAGGATCAAAACCTGGAGGGGTCAGTTTCAGAGAGCTGGAGAGCATTATCTGTGTGCTGTTTTCAACTCAAACACACACACTCTGGAGACAGCAGAGACGCATTCACAGCTTGTAGAAAGCAGCATAATAGGTGCCCTTTAACAATATTCGTGATGTTTATGGTGAACATTGTTGTGTCAGGTTTAACAGATTTAGTTCTGCTTCATTTCACTGCTGTTGTCATCTTGTGTGAGCAGCGTCCTCTTATTGGAGCTGAAAGCGTGATCAGATTAGTCTAAATGTTGTGTAATAAGCGTGTGTGTGTGTTCATGCTGGGCGCTGGAGGATCGACTCCTCAGACTGACACACAGAATGAGCCGCCGCTCAGCAGGAGTCAATCAGCATCTGAATGACCCGCAGCGTTTCAGCTTCAGGATACCCCACAATTCAAGACGTGTTAATGCATATCTGTGAGGGAAACTGAAGCGTCCATCACAGCACCGGTTTACTGTCACTCACACACTGATTTCTCATGCATTTATTGTGTTAGTAGTGGATGGTTGGGGTTTCTCTGTGCTGTTCTCCTTACTCAACACATCTCTGTGCAGCATTGTTGTCATTATTATTACTTTTATGGTTATTTTACTTTGAGTGTTTTTGGTTATGTTCAGCTCTTTGGTCAAAGCCAAACTGAAGTTAAGCGTGCTTAATAAATAAACTTTACTGACTGTACTTATCTGTCAGTAATGTCTGTGTTTCTCTGTGCTGATCTGTCAGTAATGCCTGTGTTTCTCTGTGCTGATCTGTCAGTAATGTGTGTTTCTCTCTGCTGAGCTGTCAATGGTGCCTGTGTTTCTCTGTGCTGATCTGTCAGTAATGTGTGTTTATCTGTGCTGATCTGTCAGTGATGCCTCTGTTTCTCTGTGCTGATTTGTCAGTGATGCCTGTTTCTCTGTGCTGATCTGTCAGTGATGCCTGTTTCTCTGTGCTGATCTGTCAGTAGTGTGTGTTTATCTGTGCTGATCTGTCAATAATTTGTGTTTCTCTGTGCTGATTTGTCAGTGATGCCTGTTTCTCTGTGCTGATCTGTCAGTAATGTGTGTTTCTCTGTGCTGATCTGTCAGTGATTCCTGTGTGTTTCTCTGTGCTGATCTGTCAGTGATGCCTGTTTCTCTGTGCTGATCTGTCAGTGATGCCTGTGTTTCTCTGTGCTGATCTGTCAGTAACGTCTGTTTATCTGTGCTGATCTGTCAGTAATGTGTGTTTCTCTGTGCTGATTTGTCAGTGATGCCTGTGTTTCTCTGTGCTGAATTTTCAGTAATGCCTGTGTTTCTCTGTGCTGATCTGTCAGTAATGTGTGTTTCTCTGTGCTGATCTGTCAGTAATGTGTGTTTCTCTGTGCTGAATTTTCAGTAATACCTGTGTTTCTCTGTGCTGATCTGTCAGTAATGTGTGTTTCTCTGTGCTGATCTGTCAGTGATGCCTGTGTTTCTCTGTGCTGATCTGTCAGTAATGCCTGTGTTTCTCTGTGCTGATCTGTCAGTGACGCCTGTGTTTCTCTGTGCTGACCTGTCAGTAATGTGTGTTTCTCTGTGCTGATCTGTCAGTAATACCTGTGTTTCTCTGTGCTGATCTGTCAGTAATGTGTGTTTCTCTGTGCTGATCTGTCAGTAATGCCTGTGTTTCTCTGTGCTGATCTGTCAGTAATGTGTGTTTCTCTGTGCTGATTTGTCAGTGACGCCTGTGTTTCTCTGTGCTGATCTGTCAGTGACGCCTGTGTTTCTCTGTGCTGACCTGTCAGTAATGTGTGTTTCTCTGTGCTGATCTGTCAGTAATACCTGTGTTTCTCTGTGCTGATCTGTCAGTAATGTGTGTTTCTCTGTGCTGATCTGTCAGTAATGCCTGTGTTTCTCTGTGCTGATCTGTCAGTAATGTGTGTTTCTCTGTGCTGATCTGTCAGTAATGTGTGTTTCTCTGTGCTGATCTGTCAGTAATACCTGTGTTTCTCTGTGCTGATCTGTCAGTAATGTGTGTTTCTCTGTGCTGATCTGTCAGTAATGTGTGTTTCTCTGTGCTGATTTGTCAGTGATGCCTGTTTCTCTGTGCTGATCTGTCAGTAGTGTGTGTTTATCTGTGCTGATCTGTCAATAATTTGTGTTTCTCTGTGCTGATTTGTCAATAGTTTGTGTTTCTCTGTGCTGATCTGTCAGTGATGCCTGTTTCTCTGTGCTGATCTGTCAGTAATGTGTGTTTCTCTGTGCTGATTTGTCAGTGATGCCTGTGTTTATCTGTGCTGATCTGTCAGTAGCGTGTGTTTCTCTGTGCTGATTTGTCAATAATTTGTGTTTCTCTGTGCTGATCTGTCAGTGATGCCTGTTAGTGATCTGTCAGTGATGCCTGTGTTTCTCTGTGCTGATCTTTTAGTGATGCCTGTTAGTGATCTGTCAGTAATGCCTGTGTTTCTCTGTGCTGAGCTGTCAGTAATGCTTGTGCTTCTGTGTTGATCTGTTGCCAATGTGTGTTTCCTGTGCCAATGTAGTGATGCCTGTGTTTCTCTGTGCTGATCTGTCAGTAATGCCTGTGTTTCTCTGTGCTGATCTGTCAGTAATGCCTGTGTTTATCTGTGCTGATCTGTCAATAATTTGTGTTTCTCTGTGCTGATTTGTCAATAGTTTGTGTTTCTCTGTGCTGATCTGTCAGTGATGCCTGTTTCTCTGTGCTGATCTGTCAGTGACGCCTGTGTTTCTCTGTGCTGATTTGTCAGTGATGCCTGTGTTTCTCTGTGCTGATCTGTCAGTAGTGTGTGTTTATCTGTGCTGATCTGTCAATAATTTGTGTTTCTCTGTGCTGATTTGTCAATAGTTTGTGTTTCTCTGTGCTGATCTGTCAGTGATGCCTGTTTCTCTGTGCTGATCTGTCAGTAATGTGTGTTTCTCTGTGCTGATTTGTCAGTGATGCCTGTGTTTATCTGTGCTGATCTGTCAGTAGCGTGTGTTTCTCTGTGCTGATCTGTCAGTAGTGTGTGTTTCTCTGTGCTGATTTGTCAATAATTTGTGTTTCTCTGTGCTGATCTGTCAGTGATGCCTGTTAGTGATCTGTCAGTGATGCCTGTGTTTCTCTGTGCTGATCTTTTAGTGATGCCTGTTAGTGATCTGTCAGTAATGCCTGTGTTTCTCTGTGCTGAGCTGTCAGTAATGCTTGTGCTTCTGTGTTGATCTGTTGCCAATGTGTGTTTCCTGTGCCAATGTAGTGATGCCTGTGTTTCTCTGTGCTGATCTGTCAGTAATGCCTGTGTTTCTCTGTGCTGATCTGTCAGTAATGCCTGTGTTTATCTGTGCTGATCTGTCAATAATTTGTGTTTCTCTGTGCTGATTTGTCAATAGTTTGTGTTTCTCTGTGCTGATCTGTCAGTGATGCCTGTTTCTCTGTGCTGATCTGTCAGTGACGCCTGTGTTTCTCTGTGCTGATTTGTCAGTGATGCCTGTGTTTCTCTGTGCTGATCTGTCAGTGATGCCTCTGTTTCTCTGTGCTGATCTGTCAGTAATGCCTGTGTTTCTCTGTGCTGAGCTGTCAGTAATGCCTTTGTTTCTCTGTGCTGAGCTGTCAGTAATGTCTGTGTTTCTCTGTGCTGATTTGTCAGTGATGCCTGTGTTTCTCTGTGCTGATCTGTCAGTGATGCCTCTGTTTCTCTGTGCTGATCTGTCAGTAATGCCTGTGTTTCTCTGTGCTGAGCTGTCAGTAATGCCTCTGTTTCTCTGTGCTGATCTGTCAGTGATGCCTCTGTTTCTCTGTGCTGATCTGTCAGTAATGCCTGTGTTTCTCTGTGCTGAGCTGTCAGTAATGCCTTTGTTTCTCTGTGCTGAGCTGTCAGTAATGTCTGTGTTTCTCTGTGCTGAGCTGTCAGTAATGTCTGTGTTTCTCTGTGCTGATCTGTCAGTGATGCCTGTGTTTCTATGTACTGAGCTGTCAGTAATGACTGTTTCTCTGTGCTGATCTGTCAGTAATGTGTGTTTCTCTGTGTTGATCTGTCAGTAATGACTGTGTTTCTCTGTGCTAATCTGTCAGTAATGACTGTGTTTCTCTGTGCTAATCTGTCAGTAATGACTGTGTTTCTCTGTGCTGAGCTGTCAGTAATGCCTTTGTTTCACTTTGCTGATCTGTTTATAATACTTGTGTTTCTCTGTGCTGATCTGTCAATAATGCTTGTGTTTCTGTGTTGATCTGTCACCAATGTGCTTCTCGGTGCTGATCTTTCAGTAATGTGTGTTTCATTGTGCAGATTTTTTTTTTTTGTAATTTCTAATATTAGAAATGCCTGGCACCGAAAGTCCATCATCACAGGGGTTCAGTTTTTTATTTATTTATTTTTTTTTAGTTGTTATTTTTCTATTATTATTCCCTCCAGAACTGTCTTGAGCATCTGTCTGCACTCCCAAGGTGCATCTCCTGCCTCTAAAAGCCACCTCATTGCGTTTTGTTTTCATTTTCTGAGGAGCAGCTCATTTATTAGAGGAGAAAAAAACACCACAGTGGCTTCTTCCAACGCATTCAACTACATTTTTTTTCTTATATTTGCTTCAATATATATGGAATGTATGATTTGTTTATCACTGTATGGAAATATAGTTTTTTTTTTATGTTTTATGTGAGATTCCCCTTTCGCATACATTAATTTGCCTCAGTGTGTATATTTGCACAGTTCAAACACATGCACTATGGGTGAATTAGGTGAATTGGATGAACTGAATTGGCCGTAGTCTATGAGTGTGTGAATGAGAGTGTGTGTTGGTGTTTCGCTGCGTTCGCTGCATTCGCTGCGTTAACCATATGCTGGAGTAGTTGGTGGTTCATTCCGCTGGGGCGCCCTCTGATAAATCAGGGACTGAGCTGAAGGAAAATGAATGCATGACTGGTGGTTTTATGTGTTATTCCTGTTTTGCGCATGAATCCCATCTTTAGATGTAAACCCACCTAATCCCGCATGTGTGTTTCTGTCTGCAGGTTTGGAGTCTCCGCGGGGGTTTGTGGATCTGCGGTTTGTGCTGCAGCCGCAGGACGTGGTGACGGTACGGGGTGGAGTTCTGCAGCTGGACTGCGATGCGCTGTCGGATCAGGGCGTCCCCAGCATCTCCTGGAAGAAAGATGGAGTTCTGTTGAGTGCAGTAGTGGACGAGCGCAGGCGTCAGCTCTCTAATGGATCCCTGCTAGTGCAGAATGTGATGCATTCGAGACACCACCGGCCGGACGAGGGCTCCTACCAGTGTCTGGCCTCGCTGGAAGGCATCGGGGCCATCGTCAGCCGCACCGCACGCGTCACCGTCTCCGGTACCTTTGCTTTTATTCTAAAAATCTGTCATTGCAATATTTCTTTTTTAGTGATATACAAGGCAAGGCAAGATTATGTACATAGCACATTTCATACACAATGGTAATTCAAAGTGCTTTACATAAACATGTCCAATGTTGGAGCACATCTGATAATTTCTGGAAGCTGATTCAAGCAGTGAGGGGCATAGTGGCTAAAAGCCGATTCAGCCTGCTTTGACTGAACTCTTGGAACTTCTAGTGTATATGATCCTGTAGATATGAGTGATCTGTTGGGTTTGTATTCAGTGAGCACATCTGTGATGTATTGAGCTCCAAGGCCATTTAGTGATTTATAGACAGGTAATAATACTTTAAAATGAGTGTAACTGGGAGCCAGTGTAAAGACCTGAAGACCGGTGTGATGTGCTCTTATTTTCTTGGTTCTGGTCAGAATCCTGGCCGCAGCGTTCTGGATGAGCTGCAACTGTCTGACTGTGTTTTTAGGAAGACCAGTGAGGAGTCCATTACAGTAATCCACCCTGCTGCTGATAAAAGCATGAACAAGTTTCTCTAAATCTTCACTAGAAACAAAGCATCTGATTCTTGCTATGTTTTTGAGATGATAGTATGCTGATTTACTGACTGCTTTGACATGACTGTTGAAACTCAGATCTGACTCCAGAGTCACACTAAGATTCTTGACCTTATTTTATGTTGTTTGACCCTTAGGCCGTCCTCACACTTGGTACAGTTGCCTCGAACCGGGCCAAAGCACGCTTGTCCCCCCTCCCGCGCTCTCTCACTCAGCAGCACAGTGGAGATTTCTCTAGTTATATCGTGTCAGTGGTTTGATATGCAGTGACATGCAGTCAAATATTTCGCCAAACAGTCCTTAGGGATGCAGAGACACGCAGTCAGATATTTCACTGTACAGATTCGCCACTTTTGGCGCTCATAAACAGTCATAAAGCTCTCGTGCTGCAGGAATGAGGAGGTCTGCTGAAGGTGAAGCTGTCATTAATAATCTACGGCAGTTTGCGTTCACTGAACAGTAAGAATGATTAATAAATCCATATCAAACAGTCCCTTAAAAGTCACGTCTCGCTTTCAGTTTCGGGCTTTGGTGGGTTTTGCACTTTTGCACTCACACACAAGCGTACCGCGCCAAAGCCCAAGTGATCCGCGCTCAGGCACACCTCTTCCAACCGGGCCAGGGCCGGCCAAGTGAACCGTGTCTGAGCCTGATTCAGCGCACTCACACTTCTCAAACGATCCGGGAAACGGGCCTGGGCACGGTTCGGATAGCATACGCACTTAGTGCCAAGGTATGCATTCACCTTGAGAACCTCATCTCTGTTCCCAAACGCAATGACTTCAGTTTTCTCTTTGTTTAACTGAAGAAAGGTTTGGCACATCCAACTGTTCATT